GAGATTATTCAGTGTAGAGGTTAGAGAGTAAGGGCAATCATGCCCCTCTGCTTTTATCCAAAAAAGGCAGCAGAGTTGCTTTGATGATCACAGAATTTCCCACAGACAGCAGAGTGGAGTACATTTTCTTAGAGCTGTTAAAAATTACTGACTTTTAGAATGGGAAGGATGGGCAGATAGAGATTTCTCAGTTTCCAGCTATGTTTTTAAGGGGAAACTGTAGCCCACAGAGATTGTGTGTGCCCACCAACAAGTGTTGACCGTGCAGGAAGGCAAAGGAAGCTGCATTTTCCAAGCTACCAGAAGGATGGAAGTTTGCACCAAGCAAGTGTCCAGCTCCATCATGGTGTAACTGCACACTTTGCCATTTCCCCTCTGTAGTCAGTGTGGGTTACTGGGAGAGGTAGGTGATAAGAGTAAAAGGCTACTGAGCTGGTGCACTGAGGCAGATATTATATCTCTAAAGTACTGCAAAAAAGGAAACCAGTGATTTGAAAGAGAAAAAAATAAAAAGCCTGCCGAGCATGCCATCTTCCTTAAACCACCAGATTTCTGTTTAAAGTATTTTCAGCTTCTCTCTGTGCCCCTGCAATACCAGTGATTCACAGCACTCCTGCCCCACAGAGGTTCCCTGGAACTAATTTCTAATTCAGAAAGGGCTCATGGTATACACCCTGTAGGACATAGCTGCTCCCAGCAGGAGGGCAGTTTTCAAGGTCCATTGTGTCAAGCCTATAGAAACAAACAAACTAATAAGAAAACTCCCCACCGCTCAAATGCTGTGATTGTGCTTGCCCAATTAAGCTGTGAGCATGTGAGGAAAAAAACTTTGATTAAACTCTGGCCCCAGCCAAATGTTCATGCAGTGCCCTGATTGAATGTATTTTTTTCCTCAGGAATGAAGACATAAGGAGGCCTCAGGAACAAAAAAAAAATCCCTTAAATGTATTAAATACCCATAGCCATCTAGAGCCCCTGCAGTCACTTGCCTTTTGATTGGGAGTGTTGTGTTCTCCCCAGCGAGCAAAAAGAAATCACATCATCTGTCCTGGGACCAGTCATGCTGTGTAGCTGAGTTTTGGCATCGGGGTCAGAGCTGAGTGCATTGGTCTAGGGAGGCTTGTGAAAAAGAACAAAACTGCCAAGTGAATTCCAATAGCAAAAGCCTGCGGTGAGTCTCAGTGTGCTCACAGGGATTCACAAGCAAAAGGCTAATCAGTCAAGTAAACGTTTCTCTGGGTGGATAAGCTACAGCAAGGGAACTGCACCCATTCCATATGCACAGAAGCAGAGCATGTTCGTGCAAAGAGACAGCTCCAGCCGAGCTGCCGTGGGAATGCTGCTGTTTTCACAGTGGGCATTGTTACTATGGAGTCCTGTGTGTTGCTGCAGAACGTGTATGGAGTGATGGATGGGAAATACAGCAGTGCCTTGCCGCTCCTAGGCCGGGAATAGATGCCTGCTGGCACCGGGGATGGTATGCCTCGTCCAGCTTGGTTTCCTCTCTAATCCATTTTACTTTGTGGAGGAAATGGGCCTGGCCTGTGCTTTGTGATCTCTATGTGCAAGTCCTGGGTCTGTTGTGCAGCTGTAACATGTTCCCCTGCAGGTTGGCTGTCAAGGTGCTATGCTGCTAGGGCTGAAAAGCATCATTCCAGACCTTGGGGAAGAATTCCTAGTGTTGAATCTCATTATTATGGAGTCCGCTGCTATGTCCTTCATCATTCCCATCTCCAGTGTCAGGGACAGGGGTGCAAGCTCCACCAGCTGCCAGGACTCCTCTGTAATCAGTGGGGAGAGGGAAACACATCTGCAAGGATGGATTTGTCTTCTTTTAGGATAAGTATTAACCACTCTTTGAAAATCATCTTAGTTTTCTCTGGAGACCTAGGAAGTCTTTTCTGGTTTTCGGTCTAGAGCCCATTTGAGATTGTTCCAACTGAGTCCTCTGGTCCGACTCTTCAAGGGCATCTTAGAACATTTCTCTATTCCCTCTCTTCATGCAAATGGATGTCTAGTGTCATGGTCAGGTTACCTACAAAGGAAAAGCTGCTGTCAGCACATCAGCTTGCCACAGGAGAAAAAAAAAAAAAAAAAAAAAAAAAAGGCTGGTTTTGATTTAGGGTTTTAAGCATAATTTTAGCAATGTGAACCTGAGCTACTCCAGGTGGCCAGGATGCCTTCTCTGCTCTGTGGACTTCTGGCTGTGAGCTCAGCTGACTCTGCTGAACTGCACCAGCACAGGAGACAGTAAGAGGCCATTGCACTGTGTCCTTTATCATTATATGTCTACTCTCATGCCTTCCTGCAGCCAGCAGACTGGGGCTCCAATGACTTGTTTGTTGTTTTCAGTAGCAATACAAAGCATCCAGTTCTTGGAGTCATGCTCCTTAGAAACAGCTGTATCCTGCCTTTTCCTGTGCTGTCAGAGGAAAGATTCTCCTCCAAGAAGCCTGGACTTAAGTGGTGCCACTTAGCATGTTACACATCCTTCTTGGAGAGTTTCTAGTATGTCTGACATGTCCCTTTTGTATTACTTGGCCATTCCCATGTGTAGAAGCCCAGAAGGTAAGGAGACTAATATGTTATGTCTCAAACACCGATAGCTGGATGGCCGTGGAGCCAAGCAAGGATTGTTGGTAGTAACAGCCAGGGATTGTTAGTAATAACACACTGTAAGAATGAACAGGATGTGGCTGGAAAGGGGCCTTGTGGAGGCAGGGCAGCACTTTTCCAGGACAAACATCCTTGTTCTGGCTCCTGGAGATAAGCACAGCACAAGCACAGGCAAAGGCTGCAATGGGATATCGAGACCACCAAAGACCCCTGAAGCCTCCAACCCATTTCCTGAAACGTCTGGAAGAACAGACTGTGCATGAGAACTAATTTTGAGAGAAAGTCAGAAACTTACCTCCAGGGCAGGGTAAATTTATCCAGAAGCAGATCCCCCCACAAAGCCCATGTGCGAGTGCGTCCCAGGACCCTGGACACCCCATCAGCTGGATCAGCACTGGAGCCAGGACTGGTGATCTCTCTTTCTCTCTTTCTTCCTTTCTTTCTCTCTCCCCCTCTTTAATTCATCTCTGTCTTTCTCTCTCATCCCTTCCACCCTACCCTTTATCCAAAACCCACTGCCAAGTGCTTGTTGGAGGTCAGGGATTCACATACCCATTTCCATGCTGCATGTTTAATTTACTAATAGAACTTTCTAAGGTTTTGTGGGCCCCTTTGACTTTTGTCATTCCTGTCAATCACAGGTGTCTATGGATCTTGGGTGCTGTCAGGCTTGGTGCTGTGACCACTTCCCTGGGGAGCCTATTCCAGTGCCTATTCCCCCTCTGAGTGAAAAACTTTTTCCTAATATCCAATCTAAACATCCCCTGACACAGCTCCCTGACATTCCCTCGGGTCCTGTTCCTGGTCATGAGAGTGACTTACCCCTCTGTTTCCCCTTTCTTGCAGCTGCTGCTTGTTAACTGCCACTTGATATCTCATACTTGTAGAATATAAGGACTAGCTGATCCCAATTCACCTTCTCACCCCACTCAGGATTATTTTGATTATTTTGACATCTCTCAGAGCCCTTGTCTGTCATCTCTCCCTGGCTGAAAAATCCTGGTCTGTCTAACTGGTCATCTGATGCACCCTGTCATCCCAGATCTCTTCCTTGAGTGTCCATAGATAGCTACAGCTCATCATTTTCATTTGTAAAGTTGGGATTGTTTCTAAGCACCACTTTTAGCTTCATTTAATTTCAGCTGCTGTATTTTTTGCCATTTTGTCATAAAATGTGGTTATTAAAGTAGGGTTTTTAAACTGAAATGCATGTGATTTATGTCTAATTCCGGTTCTCATGGAATCAGTGACTGCATTAGAGGAAAGCAGGAGAAGCTGTATATGGTTGAACCTTTTCACTGAATGCAAGGTCTTGTAAGCCCCCTCCATTTTAAGCTCTGTCAAAGTCTACTGGGTAGTGCAAGGGAAACTGAGTTCACCAGTTTGGAATCGTATTTTCTAGTATTTGATTTTTGATGCCTTGTTTCAATTCTTACAAGGTGGTGGTTTATTCAGATTGGGCCTAATGTTGAATATTTGTTTTGCATGTGCAGTTCTACCTATTATAAACCCAAATTTACATACACATATATGTGCATGTTCAATTTAATTTCTACCTTGGGAATTAGATGGGAATAAGGGAATATGTTTGAAAACCAATTTTAATTTTCACTATAGTGCTACGTAGAGATAGTTCCAGCAGTTTCACAGTTTGCTATGAAAGGACTTCAAATGTTTTTAGCAGTGGTAGAACTGCCTGAATTGGTCGTTTGTTTCTCTCTGAGTTCTTTGATGTGCTCTACCACAGAGTTCAACACATGTTGTCTGGCATTAGGCATTGTGGAACAGACTCCGTGTTTGGGCAGATCTGGTTTTTTGGGGGGATTTCAGTTACAGTGAAAGATGCTGTGCTGACAGATACTGAAATCTTTCCAGTCAACCACAAAATAGGTCCCAAGAGGGACTGGAAATTGAATTCTCCTACTTATACAGCCTTCATTACTTGTAAGCTGGACTTTCACACAGACCTGATCTCAAACTTTTTAGTTTTAAGCTTGAGGTTGACTGGTCCACTTGGAATTCAGCTGAAACTGTAAATGTGTTTCCTACAACACCCCAGGGAGTCATCACATGAAAATTATTTGGGAGTACTGCCAACCAGGTTGGATTTGAACTGGTGACCCACCATCCACATTATGTTCCCAGTATCATCCATCATGTAAGTCTGATGTTGAAACCTGACATTTCCAGAGGTACTTTTAGCATACTAAATGTGCTTCCAGAGTTCTGTGTTTTGCCCCTGGGTTTCACCCATTCAAAACAATGGCATTCTCTCAGCTCCCTTTGAATGCAAATGGGGTGGACTCGCCTAACAACCAGTTAGAGGAGAGGCTGCAGAACTTTCAGCTGAGCCATTCTGTTTGTTTCCTTTTCTTTCTTAACAGGATCCAACAGCTGCAGCAATTTCGGACAGAGATTGTGACACGAGAGAGGGAGAGACTGTAGCCATGAACTATAAGCCATCCCCACTTCAAGTGAAATTAGGTAAGTCTTTGCTGATGGAGAGTGAAAAGGCTGAATCCAAGGTCTGAAATACAGTGAGATGCCTGTGTGATCATATGCAGATCTCCATGCGTGTGGCTGAGCATGCCAGCTCAGCTCAAACAGCTCACAGAGCAGCTTTATCATTGTGATTCTGCTGCTGAGGGAACTGACCTACAAATATGTAAAGACCCAGTATCTGGGGATGTGGTAGAGGAAGGAAGCTGTGCCTTGAGAGAAAGGCACAGCTTTTTTAAACCTACAGTTTTTTTATCAAGCTAAGATCAAGGCTTGGCCAAATAAAGAATGAAGGTAATATAGAGGGACTGTAAAAAAAAGAGAAGGCAGAATAGTTGCAAACAAAAGGGAAAGGATCAGAGAGTCCACACACTACCTGGAAAAGACAGAGCTGTGTTACTGTGAGATGGAGAGCTTTTAGGTCTGTAAAGGTTCTCATACAAATACTCATGCTATTTCTGAGCAATATTTTTGAAGTTCTGGAAGCAGAGTTATCCAGTTAGCACAATAGCCTTGCTTCCTTACAAGAGGACAACAATCTACACATGGTTGTTCCACCTCTAAAACCTGAGCCCCTGTTTTGCTACACAGCCTCAGGAACTAGTGTGCTAAAACATGGGAATCTAAGTGTGGAAAATTTCCCAGTAGGAACAGGAAGCAGTCCCCTGGTTGTCCTTTGCAGCAGTGCAAATGACGTTGAGAGAATGCTGCTGTAGCTGATTGAAGGTGCCTATGCCCTGTTGGGAAGGCTTTGAAAGAAGTGTGAGCCTCCATGGAAGTGGAATAGCTCTGGCCCCTGCCAAATGAGTGATAGAGAAGGTCAGCAGACAACTAAAGTTTGAAGAAGGTTTGGGAAAGTTTAGGCATTGGTGTAAGACCATGAAGGTATGTTCTTGATAGATAGAGTTACCCGAGGATCTGAAGTACTTCTGCAAAACCAGTGTTAGTCTCATTTATAAGCGGAGCCTTAAGGAAACACCAGAAAAAGGCTGGAGAGCCTTGTGAAGTCTCAGGGCTCCACCTGAGCATGTGGTAAATTGTTCATAGCAATGAAGAAAAGAATGTAACTACCCAGAGACAGTAAAGGAAATAAATAATAATGGCCAGTCTCTTCGCGAACGAAGAACCGGGGAAGGTCTTTCCACCTTCCAGCCTGCGCATTGGATTTTTTAGGTGAGACACAGTGTGCGCGGAACTGAGCCGTGGGAAATTAGGACTCCAAGTAGATGGCCCCGGTTCGTGCGAACCTGCCACCGTCGCTCCAGGAGTCCTGCATCTACCTAACGGAATGCCCGAAACGAGCTCCATCTGCCCGGGGAGGGGCCCCGACCGGGAATCGAACCCGGATCTCTGCAGTGACAGTGCAGTGAATTTTCCCCTGGACCACCGGGGGCTCCCACAGTAAAGGAAAATAAAGTAGTTGAACAGGCAAGATTTCCCTGAAAGAGTGACTAGGAAGGGGATGACAGCAAGCTGGGTATATAAATACAGCAAGATTATGCAGCAAAGTGGAGGACCTAGACCTACAGATACAAGATATGAGCAAGTGGATTGGGGCAGTAGATCAGTCCTGCAGTCACAGTCATAAATATTCTGAAAACAGTGACTGCTTTTCAGGGAAAGGCAGGGAGCAGCAGGGTGTGTTAATGATGGCACAACGCATAGTTTGGTAAAAGATTATCACTTCTTAAGAGTGCCATATGCCACCAGGATCCTTTTTCACTGCCAGGAGTGTTGTAGAGAGATAATTGCTACTGCAGTGGTTGTTTTGGAGAATTTAACATCAGGAAACAGGTTAGAGAGCAGTTAATGCTTTTATTGGTAAGTCTGAGATATCCTTGCTTTTCTAGGCAATAAAAATATCCTCTGGAGATTCATTAACCTGATAGGAAATGGTGCTTTTTTAGACTTGGCTTTGGTAAGTCCTGAGAACATCATAGGAGATCTGATCATGGAAAAGAGATTTGGATTCAGGATAAACAAGTTCAATTCACACAAATTAAATTAAATAGAAAATTCAGTATTCTAAACAAAGCCAGTGGAATGAGAAACTCTGGAAGTCAAAACACATCAAATAGTGTTGAAGGAGAAAGTATCAGAAGAAAGAACATTACTAATGGAGTTCTATAACAGTCATTATTTATATGGTTATTGATGACTTTTATGTAAAAGCAGGCAAAGAAAATGTAGGCAGAGTGTATTTGGAAGACATAAGTACAATAAAGACTGAGAAATAGGACAGAGAAAAAACATGAAAACTGGAATAATAGAAATGAGAAAAATAGGAGAGACTCAATCTTCTGTAAACTGGAATTTAATAACTGGTGGTGATTACTTTAGTTGACTGGAAGGTAAGTAATTATTGAAATGGACTGATACATGAAAATAGGCCATAGTCACATTTCTGCAGAACTTGAAGAGCTTTTTTCAATGGGTCAGATACAAGTCAATGACTAGCCTTTCTACCAGAGCTTCTGCTTTTTCATATAGGGAAAATTCTACTTTATTTAGCCAGTGCTGAACAGCCTGAAGTAGAGAGGCAAAGGGATGTATAGGAAGAGTTGCAGTAGACAGAGGCATACCATTGCCAGGACCTCCTTTCCAACTGGTTCTTCTGCCCAGTGAACTCAGTGCTGACCACAGTGTGGTTATAAAGGTAATAGTGGTTGAAACCTACCTGCCTAAGAGGAATTGTCTTGAAAGGCTGACAGGCATCTTTCTGCCGTGCCTTCAGAATGAGGTCTGCTCCAACACCTCTGCCTGTGGAACCGGCGTGCCTCTTTAATTAGGTGAACACATGTCTACTGGCATTTGGACCAGCTCTCTGCTCTCAGCCATCCCCAAATGAGCTCTGGGTTATCTGAGCCAAAATGAGACTGACAATACTGTATGTAGGCAGTGTAACATGCCTTTAATCCACACCAGCTCCTGCTGCTTTTATTCTTAATATTGTCCCAGCCTTTACAATTTTCAAGCAGCTTAATCACTGTATCTCCCAGCTCTGGCCCCATTCCTCCAACTAGATTTTTTTGCCTCTTCTGCTTTAAACTTGTCAGGATTTGGATTGGTTTTAATCTCTTTAAGGCTAGAAAAAGTTAAGGTAGTGCATAAATGTTTAAGAAAGAGTTTAACTGGCAGAGCCGTTGTTGGGGATGATAGCAACTAGGCTTTTAATCCTGTTGCAGGCTTTCTATATGAATAGTGGCATTTTTCACTGTAAAATCAGAATCAATTGTTCAAATGTCAAATGTTTCAGTGGATGGTTGATAAATGTCATTTTTCAGTTTGTGAAGGTTCATGTATAAATCTGCATCGCATGTGCTTGCTGTAAGATTGGGTCAAGTGAGCTCAGTTAAATACCAACCCAGCATGAACACAACTTTTGCTTCCAGACACTGCAGTGATTGAAGCATGACAGAAAGAGTGTGATGTACTGCACACACTGAAGGCAGATTTACCCTGCTGCTTGGTTGTTTCTCCCCCTCTAAGTAAACGCACTTGGCCACATGTTTGCTTGGAGGGTCAGTTAGATAAAGGCAAAACTTAACGGTTGTCTTATATTTCTAGTGAGTTACACCTGGTTTCTAAGTGGAACAGTGAAACACAGCTTGCTGCTTAGGGCCACATCAAAAAAGAGAGCATTACACCAAGGGGAAATCATCTCCCAGTTCATGTGGCTCAAAATTTTAAACCCTTACTGATACTGTATCTGTATTAATTATGTATTTCTTACTTTTCTAACACCCCCACTTTGTCCTTCTGTCAGGAGCTGCCAGATTCAGCCATGCTTCTTTCTTTCTTTCAAATCATTGATAAGGAGACTCCTGACAGCATGGGTTGGGGGTTGGGTGTACGTTAGTGCTTAGGAGATGTCTCCAGCACATCCTTATTAGGAGTCATATCCAGATGGAGCACATACCACAAGCCTTTGAAAACAGAAGAGAGTTATGATAAGGAGAGAGGGAGGAACAGAATAATCTCCAAGTGTAACTCTCAGGGGCACTGTGTCTACCGGAAGGCAACAGATCCTGCTGGGATTCCCAGGAGACAAGATATTATTTTAATGAAGCTTATGCCATCTGCTTTTCTATTTTGCATTTTTAATTTACCTTCTCTGCTCTGAAATCCCCACCCAGACAGTCTGTGTCTGTCTTACCTGTTAGTCAATGACATTACAGTTTGTGTTAAAACAGAACAGGCAATGTGGAAAATGCTGCAATATAAGCAACAGCTGTGATGAGGGAAAGTGGCAGTGGCACGTACAGCAGCCCTCAGCCCTCTGAGGTGCCTTTTGCCTTAGATGTAAGCACCTTTTCTCCTTGGACTAGAGAATAAGGCACTGGTTTGGGAAGTTTCGTCAGCAGAGTGCCTAAAAGTAAGACTGAGTGAGCTACATGCAGTTGAGGTCTCCTGCCACATGACCAAGAGGAAGCTTAGTTCATATTGACAGAGGGTTCAAGGTGTTTATGATTTGTGGTTTAGATTTCCTTTGAAAAGGTTTTTGTAAAAAAAAAAAAAAAGAAATTACTTGAATTGCAAATGTAACAGATAGTTTTCCTGTTCTCCTAGCTGCTGTTTTGTTCCCCTCCCAGCTTAGATCTCATGATGGTATTTATCTTAACACCAAAAAAAAATGGTGGCTGATTCTGGTCAACCCTGAAAGGAGAAGCAAGAGTCAGAAAGTTGCCTTTGGTATATGCTGGTGTAATCAAGTATATATCCACCATCCTAACCAGAAACTTTCCTTGCTTCAGGAGGCAGGAGGCTATCGTAAAGCTAACAGTACAGAGTTATTTCATTAATTAGAAGGAAACTAACACTTTCCTCCTGCCAGCTGCACTGTAGAATGTTGTTTTTTTCCTCTAGGAGACAGTAGAAAAAGTCATTCTCTGACAAATAACCATAGTACTCAGCACCCAAGAAGACACATCAAATAAGACCACCTTGTGTGCATCTGCTTCTTCCTGTATCGACACTTCCTCCTC